TTTATTTTTTTACAGTAATGTAAGGAAAATATTACTTTTATAACATTTTTTTATCATTTCAACAACTTGCATAATTCTTGAATTAAAATTATCACATAATAAGCACCGTATTTAAATAAATTGCATTTTGAATTAGCATGGGGGATTTTTCAATTTTAACATTACAAAAAAAATGTGAATAGGTACCTTAGAAGCAGATACATGTTCTTCTCAAAACAAGTATAAAACCATTAATTAATTTGAATCACCAATCAATTAATTTCTTATTCATTCTTATATTCATTAAATTTTGTAAAATATAATAATAAACTCACCAGAACTCACGGCCAAATTCAAACACTAATAAATTATTTATAAAACTAATATCTAAAATTATCTTTAATAAACTGCATTAAGCAAAGCAATATAACCAAGGAATAAAAATAATAAAATCAAGGTAAAATTTAAAATATTTGTTACAAAAATAACAATTTTTAAAACTAACCTCTTTATGTGAATTTTAAAAAGAATCATAGACGCAAATGCATCCTCGAACAAAAGCTTTAAGTTTCGGATAAATTTTACAAGCTTGAATATAAATACACATATTTAAATTTTATGTTATATTCATCGGTTTAAAGTATTTTTAAATCTCTACATTAAGTTTAATGAACCAAATATATAAAAAGGAAATTATGATTACACTGTTTAACTATAATTTAGCCACTACTTAACAGTTACATCATTACATCTTTGGGTCATTGTGACATGGCGGAATGGTGGTATGGTGGCTTCCGATTGGTCAGTTCAGTGAGTTCGTAATGTACGGATTGTGAGTTCGTGATTATGAATATGCTAGTATACGTTTTATCCTATTATTATATTAGACTAGAGCATTTTTCTATACGGTCAATTTATTTCTTAGATTTATTTTGCGAACTTAATTTCCAAAATGTGTCGTTTAATAATATTTGTTAATGTAACTTTGGAATGACTTAAGTGCGGTTTATTGTGTCAGTTAAGTTTTGTTAAAAAATATCTGTTAAGGGTAATATTCTGTTTTGCTTGCTTTGAATTAGTTAATAATTTTACTATAAAATTTTTACAATGATACCTTTTTGATATTGAAAGAAAGATAAACAAACTAGACATGCCTCTAAATCGGTAATTTATTTCCTGAAATCCTTAGTTTGAAGATTATTCTCAGATGAAATAATTGGAACAAAAGGTGAAGCTCTAGAATTGTTAATTTTCCTTTTTTTTCGTTTTGGTAAATTTTTTATTCAGAAAAGAAATTTTACTAGCTATTTAAAATCTAGCATCATGGAAAAAAGAACTCATTCTATATGTCCTTCAGTAATAAAGGAAGGAGCTTGTGTTTAACTGGTCACTATTTAAATCTGTATGGACAATTTCCTTTAGTGGTTAGTATTTAAATGCAAGTAATAAAATAAGTAACATAAACTAATCTCACTAGTAAGTAGTTAACATAATGACCAATTAATGTATGTATTGACTATTTAATACCCTGTGGGATGGATATTTCATTTCATACTTATAATCAATACTTACTCTTACTCTAGTCCAATGAATTTAAAGAATGTTTAATATGTGATGGTTTAAAATTTGTTAGCGTGGGTACATATACACTTAGGATATATGTATTTTCATAAAATTTAATTGTTTTAGTACGTTGAATTATTTGCCTACGGAATTTTCTCTGTTTTTTGGGTGTTTGACTATGAAAGTGGATATTACAAATTTTGATTCTATAGTTGCTCTTTCCATTTGACCCACAGTGCATTGGAAAGGTACGATTATTTTTTATCTTTTCCTTAAATTTAAAATTAATTTCTCCCTTATTAAACGAGCTGATAGTACCAAAATGTATAAAAATTATTATGAGCAATTAAAATAATAAAAATGTGATAGGTAATCGTAATTAACCAGTAAATATTTTAATCCGTCTTTTAGAGAACGGACTATTTAATAAAGGAATTAGCTGTATCGATGATGAGAATTTTCTAGTGTACAGTGGGTTGCCTATACAAAAGATAAACAGCTTCTTAAATTTGTATTATATTTTACTATTATGTACAGGCCTGACGCTCGAAGCTGGCGGAAATTTTAAAATGGTGTGGAAGCGCGGTAGAAAAAGTAGACAGTTTTAGTTATAACAGTTGCAGCCCTCTTTCTTTAGTATTCCTATAAGGGGTGTAGATTAAATATTTAAAAGCAGAGATCAGTTTACAAAATTAAATTGAAAAATTAACTTATTCGGTTGATTTCCTTGTTGTAGATATTTAAAGTTCATATAAAAAAAGAAAAAGGCCCAATAATTTAGTTTGACGTGATTTATTTAATGTTATGTTATATAATGAGCAAGTAATAGGCATACAATCCAATACAATACAATAAAATTTATCAAATTCGAGATCATCGTACCATCACGCAAAATTAAATGAGTGCGCTGTAGTTATAGTGTGAGTCGAAATTTGTAAGCAACTAATTGTTTATATTTTAATAGCCTATTTAAATTTATTTGGTACATAAGCAGTCTCAGGAAATAATTATGATTTCTTATTACTAAACACTGCTGATATAAATTAATGTTATATTTGTATCTTTTTAATTTGCATCGTATTTTTAAAAAAATCTGCCTTTCAAATAGCATGCCAATGAAAAAAAATAATGTTTTAGTTATAAAACCTTTGTAAAAATGGCATGCATCTTTCGTTAGCACAATAATGAAGAAACTAGCTGTGATTTTGAATTATCAAATTAAAATGAAAATTTCCCACTCTCATGCCAACGAAAGGTGTTTATCAATTTTATCTCAACGGTTGCTGTAGGTATTTAGATACTTAAAGAAAACCAAAAGATAACATAGTACATAAAAGTACAAAATAACTGCAGATTTTAGGATGTTACCTATTAATTTTATAAATGCTTCAACTTTTTAATAACTAAATTCGACAGATCAGATAAATTCAAGTGTAAATAACTTATTTATCCTGTGGTTTAACGTTTTTTATCGTATATTTTACATCAAGGCCATTAATAATTCGGCAACAGGAAATNTATTATTATTATTTACAAGAAATAAAAAAACGGATCTACTCTAAAAGAAGTTATAAACATGATTAATACATATTGTGAGAAAAAAAGGTTGATAATCTGATGATGCATGTAATACTTATGTAATAACAGGTATACCGTGAGATGACTCGCATGTTTCTTTGGGAATATTTTCAAAACACTTTGTATGAAAATAAGTAGAAAATGTATAAATTCAGATTTGCCGAATTCGAAAGGTACGAGGGAGTTCTTGGTATTATTGCTCAATGGGTTTATTTGATCGCACGGCATCATGCCCGACGTGTGACGAGATATGAACGTTCGTTCTCACGATCAACCCCCTATTCTTATCGAGCAACAATTATTACTACTAGGGTTGACTGAATGGCCTCGAATTTACAAAACTAATGCGGAAAAAACAATTCCATTTTAAATTAACTTTTCAATTGCATATATCATTTACTAAATATATCTAACAATAAATAAACATGAACATTATAAAATATGTACATATATTGGTTGATCGGAACTTAATCAAATATTGTTTTTAACTCATTGAATAAAAACACTTGTTTCTGCAATTACGTTCTTTTCTTCTGAAGGTTTCAAGTAGTCAAATGATAAGATTTGTTTAAAAATCAAATACTCATAAAAACTACTAACGCTTTTAGCAACATTCTCAAAAAGACTTTTGCATTTTTTTTACTTTACTTTCTCCTAATGTTTCGTTGAGCGTGGGAAAAGGAAATTACAGGTGACGAATTGTTAAGTCAGTGACGACAAAAGTTTGGAAAAAGGGGAAAGTCCCATCAGTAAGAAAAGGATGGAGTGGTGGCATAGGACGAAGGCACGTGCGTCCCTTATTTGTCGAGTAGGGATGGGAGTGGGGTGAAAACGTGCTAGAACGACGTCGTGACGGCGGCCAAATCAACAGGGCAAGACAAACCGAATGTTAACAACACACGCGCAAGAACATCGTACACGTGGTGGTAGCACGTTACGACAAACGTCTGACACGCGACTAGTTCCGATATCTGTAATCTTATGTCTAGCAAGTGTTAGTGGACAGTGCTTTAAGACTTCATGGACCATTCCCTGTCTCACAATGCACCACTTCATTGGGGCTATCCTGTCTCAGGAACACCTTCCAATAATCCTTCGCCTTCTTCTTGGGCATCTACAACAACCAGATCGTCCAAGAGACCTCTATCAGAAAGTGAAGACTGCGACGCATTTTCAGAAGGTTCTTCAAAAGACCAGTAAGTTTTTTTACTAGTAATTTACTAGATATTTTCACATAAAACTTTTTGTCAAACTTTTTTTATTGCATATGCAAATTTTGTAATTTAAATTTATAACTTCTCAGATATTTGTTGCAAATCATTATTTCTTCATTCACTTGCTTTTTATTTAATAAAACATCGCGCACCTTTTATACTTTCTAAAGCCTGTGAATCTTAATAGATGTACATCCCCGGCGGATGCCGATAGTTGCCAGATGCTATCGAGAAAAAAACGAAGAGGTGTAATAGAAAAGAAACGTCGTGATAGAATAAACACATCTTTATCGGAATTAAAACGGCTAGTTCCTAGCGCATTCGAAAAACAAGGTTCAGCTAAACTGGAAAAAGCGGAAATCCTACAAATGACCGTAGACCATCTGAAGATGCTACATGCTAAAGGTAATTAATTCTTTGTAACATGCAATTATGCTACTTATGGGCTTGTCGATTATTGTTGGAGATACTAGACTTTGGTCCAACATAAATCACAAGTTATATCCAGTAAGAATAGTTGGAGCAATAAAAATTGTTTCACGATCAGGTTTAGATGCCTTGGCATATGATCCTCACAAATATGCTATGGACTACCATGGAATGGGTTTCCGAGAATGTGTGGCAGAAGTGATCAGGTATCTTGAAAGAATAGAAGGACTCGATGTCCAAAATCCATTAAGATTAAGATTAACGTCTCATCTTCAATGTTGCGCTGCGCAACGCGAGCTAGCTTCCAAACAGGCTGCTGCAGCGGCTACTTCTCCATGGACATATGGAACTACTCAATATCCTCCATTAAATCCGTTACCACCTACTGCCACAGCTACTAATCCAAGTAACATCACGTCTCATCATCAGCCAACTTCTAGTCTTCATTCGCAAACGATGCACGAATTATCTCATTTTGACTTACCGACGTCGTGTTCTCAAACTACCGTTTCTTCCATGTTAGAACCTCCTTCAAGATTAACGCATTCAACAACTGTCCTTACCCCTCTGACCACACCAAGTACATCATCGTTACCTTATAGTCCACACCAATATCCACCTAATTCCTTTGCAGTACCACCTACTACGAGTCATCATCAAAATTACAATCAAAGTAATCCCAATACTCAGGGTATGAAACCCTACAGGCCATGGGGAGCTGAAGTAGCTTATTAATAATAAATTGTGCTACATTTTTAAAAAAATGTAGAAAAACTAGTCATGAGCTTTCAAAGGGCTATTAACAATAGTCCAATAGTTTTAAAAGATTAAATAAAAAGGAAAAACTGTAATCTTTGAGAGCTGAATATACAATTTATTTTTAAATTGTGAATAATTGCTTTAATGTGTAGTCATTTTTGTACCTTAAAAGAGTATTTCATATTTAATTTATTATTATGTAGCTGTAAGAAATATACTGTGTGCCTTCAACGATCTCATAAATATACAATTAAATATACAAATAAATAAATTGTGATCCAAATTAAATATTTTTTTATTCTATTGTAAAATTGGTTTTATTTACCGTACATACATGTATAGCAGTAATATTTGTTATTTGTTATAATATTCATAAACTTTATCGTTTTATTTTAAAAATGAACTCATGCCGGACTAAATTACGCTAGAAGATTATGCAAAACAAAACCAGCAGCTGGACTCAGTTTTGCAACCCCAATTGTTCGCGAAACCAGTTTCCTTAAAATATGTAAATGCTTATTAGTTTTGTTACGATTTCTAAAATAACGGTAACACGAGAAAATGCAATTATTGAGTAAATTTTTAAAAAATATACTTTATTTTGCTTCGTTGAAAATATCGCACACTGAATCATGCATTTCCGCTTATTTTCTTCATTGTATTTTCACGAATTTCTAAATTCACAATTATCAAATTTCATGTATAATTAAAGCATTAATAAAAAATTGACGTTAAGTACCAATTAAATAGGAGGTAATTTAAGTACGTGTCTGAATAATACCTGTTAACAGCAACTCACGTGAAGGTTAATAAAAATAAATATCTCGCATAAGGGGTTTTGTAATAATTATACAAGCAGTTAGGGTGTATTTGAACGTGGGAATTGCTAGGAAGTTTGACTCTCATGAGTTCGGCCACAAGTGATAGATAAAGCTTTCACCCCTACTACTACAGACTGCTACTTGTATACTGTGCATTTTCATATACTACTGATGAGTATATAATACATACATACACTTTGTACATAAATGCCCATTTTACATGTAATACATGTATATTTAATATATAAATTAAAAAAAAATACATTTATTCCCGAAGATTACAAAATTACCATGAAATAAAATTAAAAAAATATTTTTATTAATTTTTCTGCATACAATAATTGGTAAAAAATTGACACAAAAGTTTTATTGTCCCGATAGTTTCATTAAAATACTTTTGTGTCGACAACAGCATATACATTTAATAACTTTTGAAAAATTTATTGCAACTTAACAAAAACATTGGCATTTATTATATTATTATCGTAATTGATACAGCTCGCATTTAACTAATTCTTATTTTGTTTTAATAGTGAAGCCACAACAATATTACTCTCAATCAGTTATTTGTAATGAGTAATTAGCCGGGGGTAGTAGCAAACGTACAAAGAATACTGTTTATAAGCAGTGCATATTAAATTAAGTTATAATGTGTTAGGCAGTTCTAAAATCATAAATTGTATGGATATAAATCGAGAATATAATGTTAGAATTGAAACTGGCGTAATTATGTAACGTTCACGTAAAAGTTGAAATTTACGATGCGTAAAGTGAAGCCAGATGCGAGGCAAATTTTTGTTTGTCTTGAGTTATAAACGAGGGGCAGGAGCTTGTTATGCAAACTGACCATTGTCCAGTAAGTGCACCGGCCTATTAAGTGAAAAGCCATCCATTCATTGCAATTTCAAAGTTACCCAAAAATAATTACGATTGTTTACAGAAAAACAAGTCCATTTCATTTTGAGAAGTCCCTTGGGTAATTTCGAAATGTCCATGGTTTATATTCATCTACCACTATAGGTATAGAAACTTCGAATTTTATATTACCGGAAAAATTTGCCACAATAAGTAGGAAATTATAAAAAAAATTAATTTTTCGTTAACCATAAATCAACAGGATCCAACTCAAGGCTTTACATATTGCACATCTTCTTAGAGTAGGTATTCATAAGGGGGCATCCATTAATTACGTGAGCTCAGAATAGGGGGGGGGCCAACGAAATCTCACCAAATCTCATTTAAACTGAGGGGGGATAATCGAAAATCTCACGTCAACTTCAAAAAAAATAAAATATTAGAGATATTAAAAAAAAAATATTTTGAGTGTTCATTTTGTCTGCTAAAATAAATTTCATGGCTATTAATATCATGTAGTACCAGAGTAATATGAAAAAAAAGGAAAAAATGGTTCGGATATTCAGTCCAATTATTTCGATCGAAAAAGTACGAGTCTCCATGGATTGAGTAAAAATCAAAAAAAAAGTATTGTTGTAATCTGTTTTTACTTTGAATTTTATTTAATTTAAATAAATTAACTATAGTACACCTGAACGATTTATTATTTTCCCGAATAATAAAAATAAATTAAGTTTAAAATCTTTTTAACATCAATCTCACGTAAGGGGAGGGGGGTCCTGGCAAATCTCACTAAATCTCACCTAAGGGGGGGAGGAGTCTAAAATGTCCGAAAAAGAGCTCACGTAATTAATGGATGCCCCCTAAATTGATACAATATGTTTTTGTTATTTCATGTGACTAAATAACATGAAGCAAAAGTAGATAAAATGCGTTCATTAAGTTTTCAACTGATTAAAAAAAAATAAAATTTTTAATTCGACTGTATTTTTTGTGTGTATGTACCTATGAATTGTCTTTGCCAACTGTGAATCGATTTTAATGATTCTTTGTTAATAGATAGACTCTATCAAATTAAAATAAATATTGTACCTCTAAGAGTGGTAAATTAGATGCTGGTTACACTTTTTAACTCATTAGTTTAAATTTGGACATATCTATAAGCAAAGTTTTGAATTCGGTTTTTATACGTAAAGTATATTTAAATTATCAAAAATAGAGTTACTTTAGATGCAACCCCTGCATACTGGTAAAGTTTACAAAGAATCGTTCCAAAAGTTTTAAAGCGATAAATCGTATAGGTACTAATTTAATTGTTTTTTAATGAATCGAATCCATAAAGTAAAAAAAATAATAAAGAGCAGAAATGGAGATATTGCATAACTAATTACTGTACAATTTTGTAATTAAATTTCATTGTATATTTGATTGCTATAAATTCAAATGTCAAGAACTACTCGTGCAATACATATATGATTGCACGTCAAATAAGAACCCTTTGAAAGACGAAAAGAATTTAAATTGAATCGTTTTTTAAGAGGGGTGACAAACCATAACAAATTCGTACTCGTTGGGTGGATACTATTAGAAGCATTCAATAAAGAATAATAATTCTATCAACTAATTATCAAATGCGAAATAAAATAAGTTTCCTTATATGCCTGAACTAATATAATTAATAATTCCTTTTATTTGGCAAAAACAGAACACTAAGAAGAATTACATGCATGGACTATATTAAATTTCCGTTTCTTCCCTTACGTAGGTACCTAGTAAGAATAATTAATTAACAATCAACCCTTAGGAAACCTGATATGTTATAGGCAAAAATATAGATTTTGTTATGACATTAATTTATTTTTTAATTCTGATTGGCTTTGATTTCTAAATATTAACATTAAGTTATTATGCACTTTGTCTTTTTAATATGAATAAAATTTTCAAAAAAACAAAATACAAAACAGCTACTTCATATAGAATGCAGTTAATAAATTGGCACAACATAAAATTTATGCTAGAGATACCCAACAATAATTTTATTTTTTTACAGTAATGTAAGGAAAATATTACTTTT